GAAACAGGACCTGCAGGCTTCAGTGGATATACCGTTCTCTCCAGGTGCCTTACTGTTGCGCAGTCGTTTTATAGTATCAGCGATTTCTCATTCAGAAGGCAGGTCGCATGACTGTGGGTAGGCGAGAGAGGGAAAAGACTGCTGTAGATGGGAGCAGGGGGTGCTGGCTCCCGTAGTTAAGGAGGTGCTCGAAGTGCTCAAGCCAGCGCTCCACCTTAGTCGCGTTGTCGGCAATAAAGCCGCCATTCACATCACGAACTGAGTCACTCAGTGAAGACAGTTTATCACTAACTTGGCGAATGAGCCCGAGTATTAGGTGAACAGTCAACTTTATCCTTAAACGGATTTGATAGTTATTTTGCATTTGATTTTGATATGCATACTCGTTCAAACAAGGTTGGAGGCTAGAACTACTGAAAAAAAGCCACAAACGTGGACGAGTTACAAACCCGATGGCAACGAAAACACTAAGGGTGCGGCGACTTTGCTATGCGATAGAAGGGGTACGCAAGCAAGCCGATGGCTAAACTGCAGAGGTACGTCAGAGCATTACTTTTAAAACCGAAAACGTAGACAGGGGTGACGGAGGTGGGTCAAAAGTACACAAATATTACTCATGCCGCGCCTTTCGAAAGTCGGATGAACATCTTCCAAAAGACAAAAGATAGCAATTGAAATAAATTGACGACATTTTTACCTCCTATTGACATTGCCTGATTTCGAAAACGGACGCAGGCAGTTAACTTTGAGTCATTTGCTCAATAATTTGTGAAAATTTTGATTGGTAACTCGGAGATTAAATAGGATTTCGTAATGTTTAATGGAAATAAATGGAAAGCGGAAAGGTTCATAGACGAAAAGTATGAGAAATTAAATGTTTTCCCTACGTAACGACAATGTTTACCGAAGTGTACCCCAAAGAAAAATTACCTCAACGATAGCATCAACCGGGCAAGCCTCTTGACAAAAGCCGCAGTAAATGCACTTCGTCATATCAATATCATAGCGCGTCGTTCTTCTGCTGCCATCTTCTCTAGGTTCGGCCTCAATGGTTATTGCTTGAGCAGGACATATGGCCTCACAGAGCTTGCAGGCGATGCAGCGTTCTTCACCACTGGGGTAACGACGGAGTGCATGTTCACCACGAAATCGCGGACTAAGCGGCCCTTTCTCGAAAGGATAGTTTATAGTTGCTGGTTCTTTAAGAAGTGTCGCAAAAGTGATTCCAAATCCTTTACACCAGTAAGACATAGTTGAGTTTCTCACCTTTAACAATTTCAGAAAGAAGTAACTTTCTGGCCATTGTATCCAGGCCTTCAGACATAGTGTTCTGCTCCTCTGGTGGGGATATAATTTTATATTTTGAAAGAAAGGCAGTAGACCGTAAATGTCGGAGAGGCAAGAGAACGCATGACCTAGGAAGGCCAGCCAACCGTACACCAACGGCAGCCATATTTTAATAATCCCGGTCTTACATGTAGTCCGCTTGAAGTACTTTTCAGATTACACAAATAAGGAAAGCCTTAATATTCGGAAACTTAGGTCAGATGCTTGCTCTGTTGGAAGCATCTCGGTCATAAAAAGATTTATGTTCCCGATAGGGTTTTCGCGGGCCTAAAACTCCAGTTCAGGGCCGGTGTCCTTAGTCAAAAAGCCCTGTAAACACACCTGTGGTGGGGCCACAGACGGGGCCAGGTGGGGCAATCCGGGGCTAA